TCAGGACGTTATGAGGAGTGTCGTTGTTTGCCAAAAAAGATTGCACCTCATCCACATAATGCTCCCACAAAGTGCACTCCAACTTGTGACCCCTACACATGAGTTGCAGCAAAAACAACGTTAATACACGAAAAATATAAGATAACAGAGCTTGACAAAATTATTTTATTTAACTCAAAAATTTTAAATACCTCAGGTTGTCAAGCTCCAACACTACCATTTTCGTCTTCCTACCAGAAACCACACGATCACAAACTTCCCCAATTCCTAAGATTAAACCAATGACGTCTACAAAAAAAAGAGGGCAGCAAAGAGTTCGTCAAAAAAATTGTAATAATTAAAAAATGGACAACAGTAAGGAAAAATATATTACCGACTAAATAAGGAGAGTCAGACGTTTCTTTCTCAATGATGTCGTAATCAACAAAATCAAATTCACTCGCAGAAATATCAGAATCAGCAATTGATTTAACATCAGTCCTCAAGTTGAAAGACAAACGTTTCTTTCACATCGCTATTGAATCCAACTCCAATTTTTTTTTATAAAATAGCACTCTCCTTCGTGAATTTTCTTCCGCACCTGCAAGGAACCTTTGATAGTGGCGTGGATCCTACACCCTACAAAAGAATGCAGCCAACTTACATCAATAACGTTAATTAAAATGATCAGAACAAAGATGGAAGATTTAAAAAATGTAGACAATAACCTATTCGTCCAATAAAACCATTTAAACATTGTCGTCAAAATCTTTACGTTGAAAGTTAGGAACTTTCCAAGCCCGAACCACCTTCACCTTAATCCTCGAGTCCTCCTTGGCAGGATTGACATCCTTCAGAAAATCATATTTTGAAAATATATTTTTTGTAAGACGAAAAAAGAGAGAAGCAAGAAGAGATATCATTGAGGAAGCAATGCGCAAACAGCTGATATTTGGCAGCAGCAGCAAAAAAAGAAAAAAATAAAGAGAACGAACAAAAACGTCCCAAGTGTTGGTATAGAATACAAAGCAGATGTATTTTTTAAATTATTTAACAAAACCAATGCAGAAAGTAGCTCAACATTAAATGAGTTGTCTGCTACCATTCAGAATTCAAAAATCAAATTTAAAATTTCAAGTTAAAATTCAAATTCAAATTTGGAAATTCAAAAAGCAGTGAGATATATTAAATGAGATGTCTGCCACCAACATTTATAACAAATCTTGACTATTGATTTAAATCAAGAAATCTTGTCCATCAATTTGCTCTTGAAAAATTAATTTTGTTTTATATTTATCTTATTCACTGATTTACCAAAGACAGAAAGATTTTTAAAATTTTATAGTGTGAACACAAAGTTGAAAGTGAAAGAAAAAGTGACATGTCAGCAAACTTGCCAAAGAATAAAATTTCTTTAAGGTGGTGTTTGGTTGGTGGGTTTTTGAAAAAACCCCATGCAAATGAAGATAGCATTCTGAAAATCATGCGTTTGGTTGATGGAGAAATCGCTCAACACCAGGCATTTACAATGCATATGAATTTCAATTTTGTGCCCTTTTGCTTAGGCTTCTGCACCGTTCAGAAAGCATTGTAGGAGGTGTGTTTTCAAAGAAACACGGCTAAATGAAATGGCCCCACTACAAACGAGACCAATATACCCTCTGATATTATATTCAATTGTGTGGTCAGCAAAGCGAACAATGAGTACATAGAGATAGTACATACTGATTAAGCTTAGCTTCCTTTTTGAGTCGAATAACACTTGGGCACCCGGCCAACGGAAGAAGTGATATTGCATGGTGGTGGAGAACTGAGTCTTGCTTTGTGTGGTTGAAGGTAAGCACACGGTAGCCTAAAAAAATTTTGTTTGGTCACAAAGAACTATGGACCTGACCCAGGCTTCTCTTTGTTTATGTATCCCTGTCAAAATGCATGGAGGAATGAAACAAACCAATCGGACCTGAAGTTGACGTTTGTCTTTGCTATGTTGTAGATCTTGCATCCTTTCCGATCGTATCTAGGTGCACAACGGAGTGTCCTCGGAGCAGAACCATCAGAGACCATATCCAGTTGCCCTGTTCCATTTTAGGTGAAGTCCGCTCGGGTAAGTCGTCATTGCTTCAGATCGTGAAGGATCTGGTTGTAGAAAGTGATGGAACACCCTCCTGTTATGTGCCCTTTGTGTTTCAAATATATTTCAGTCTTCTCTGGATACATTTCTGTGTTGCTGTTGAAAATAAAAGTTATTCGTTTTGATGATTGTTCAATTGGTTGCTTTCATTTTGATGATTGTTCATGGCTGCCTGTTGACCATAAGCTAAATTTGTTGTCATTTTGTTATTCGTACATTTTTTGACAAATTTATATCAGTCTTTTTTGGATATCATGGTTGCTTTGGGAATATTTTTACAACTACAAATAAGTCATCTTGACCCATTAAAAAGGCATATTGCATTTATCATCAGTGTTGTTTAAATTTGAGTCTTGAGCACTTGATACTTTTGAACACAGCAATAAGGTTCAACATCAATTGCAACCTATCTAACATAACAGCTTTGCCTCACTAGCTACATGTCTCCTTTGCTCCCAACAGCACAAAACAACGTTAGTATTTGATAAATAATAACCATTGACACAATCAGAAAAATAAATGGTATTTTAATTTTGCATTATAGTCCTAACACAAGATAAACTCAGTAGGTGTCATTACTTTAGAAATTAGAATTTAACAAATCAAGTATAATTCTATATGAAGCCCAATCTATTTAAGTAGTAGGGAGGTGTTTCCACATTAATGGGGAAAATTAGTTTACCATTACTAGGTGTTATTACAACTATTTAACAATTCAAGTAAAATTCTACATCAAACCCACCTAAACAGGTGCATTCAATGCTAAGGTAATGACTTTGTTGTTTCATTAGGGAGGCTTTTTTTGTCACTGGTAGTCATGTAGAGCTTTCTTATCATTTGGGTTAATTAGGCTGTTTTGGGTTTAGTGACAAGTCATCCACACTGACATGGAAATTTACGCGAGCCAGTGTGTGGTTGGGCAACATGTCTTATTAACCTTTGAATTAAGGCTGAGATTTGAGTGGTTTATTGTGGTAGGTTTGTTTTGGATATGGTCATGATTGGATGGGCTGACTATGGGTCCAATTATCCATTTGTTAGACATTTAAATTTGGTAAGGATTATAAAAAATTTAAATTATTCATCACCCATTTTTTATTAGAAAGAATCAAAGTATTAGACACAACCAACCATCAGTTCCTGGCACACAATGACGGCACATATCATGCACCTCAAATAAAAACATCCAAGAAATTTGTAAGTCCTTTTTTTTTAATAAATGAATTGCTGAATGCCATCCAAGAATCGAAGATGTCATTGATTCTGTTTGGCTAATTAGAGCAAAGCTAGCTGTCATTAACTATACAGTTTCTGAATTTTGAAAGAAACATCATGAAATTGGGATCCTTGAGAGTTACATCTAGGATAAGGTGCCTTGTAATGCCACTGATGCTATCTTATTTGGAATAAAAGCTTGAAGGTCTCTGCTTGTGTATTGTTGAAAGCCATGAGTGCTGTGCCACACACATAGTGTTTTTTTACTTTACCTCCATTTGTCTGTTAAAGCAAAGACCAAATTGGGTTTCAGGTTTTATCAAATACAGGGTGGAAAAGGCATAGCACTTATATCATATTGTCAACCTCATGAACCATCAGATTTAGATTTATATTTTTTTTTCCCCTATATCATGTTCTACTAATTTAAAAATTAGTAAGTTGTCTAAAGATAGAGTACATTTTATTAAACCAATGCTGAGTTGTTTCAACAATTACATTAACAAAATTGGGGAGAAAAAGAGAAACAAATAAAGAAACAAAAAGTTATCTGCCATCTTTCTTGGTTCCTAACTTCATATATACTTAATAAATGGTAGGCTAACTACACTCGGCAGGGTACCACTCCGGTCAATTATATAATCCAAATTTTAAAAATTCTACATTAGCTTTGATATATATAGGGTTTAGTGAATGTATAGTGAGTGGATATAAAATTTAGGGAAGTGCACTAAGTTCTCCCGCGAGAACACAGTTATAGTAGCAATTATTACTATGTTCTCACGTGAAGATTGTATTAATTAAGTTTTTTGTGTGAATCTCCCAATACTTTTGCTTTCATCTCTCATAACAATATTATGCATGGTCACTCACTTTTTGTTAAATCAGATCGGTCAGATGTTAAGTTTAGGGTTTATCATTTGTTTTTTTTCGTCAATACCATCACGACTGGTTTATTTTTTTAATTACTTACCACAATGTTCTTGTCCTTGATTGCTTAGATAATGGAAAGCGACAATGGAATGGAGTTTAGTGTCATTCTCGTACTCATTACTCATTTGGAGTGTTTGAATCAACTGACTAACATGTTTGTCAGTATATGTGCTGTCTTGTTACGCATTGCTGAAAACCGGAGAATTAGACGCAGGAGAGTCTCATGGGATTTTTGTGGGAGGGCTAGAGTAAAGGAAATAAACTTTCTTAGGATTGTTCGTATAAGTGATACGGCGTGTATTGAGAATACAAGGATGGACAGGAGGTCGTTTCATAACTTGTGTGGGTTGCTTAAAACTGTTGGTCAACTCCAACCGACATGTCATATGGGTGTAGAGGAGATGGTTGCAATATTTCTTTACATATTGGCTCACGATGTGAAGAACAGAATAATTAAAAGATAATTCATGAGATCGGGGGAAACCATCAGTAGACAGTTCTCTAATGTGTTGCTGGCAGTGTTACGTTGTCATAATGTTCTACTAAAACGACCAGAGCCAATCCCGGAAAACTCGACTGATGATAAGTGGAAGTGGTTCAAGGTAATAGTCTAGTCCACAAACTGTTATAACTGAACTGCTTTAACATTGACTCACCAAGCGTGTGACCATGTTACTAATTTTCTGAAGTAATTTATAGAATTGTTTGGGAGCTCTTGATGGGACACACATAAAATATAAACCCTTTGCAAGCGGATAAGGCCAGATACCGTACTAGAAAGGGTGACATAGCAACTAATGTTTTAGGGGTTTGTTCTCAAGATGGTCAGTTTATTTTTGTCTTGCCTGGTTGGGAGGGATCAGCAGCAGATTCTAGGGTTCTAACAGATGTCATAAGTCGTACAAACGGTTTGAAGGTTCCTAAAAGTAAGTTTCTCTGAAGTGCCTAATTTCATTAGGTTAAGTTATTTTACTTACTACATGACATGTTTTGATATAAGTTGACCGTATCTTTTGGTGTAGGATACTATTACCTATGTGATGCTGGTTACATGAATGGGGAAAGTTTCCTTACGCCATACAGAGGACAACGATATCATCTTAGTGAATGGAGGCACGGTGCCCAACCAAGGACAGTCGAAGAATTTTTTAATATGAAACATTCCTCTGCAAGGAATGTCATTGAACGCTGCTTCGGAATGCTTAAGGGTCGTTGGGAAATTGTACACTCGAAGTCATTTTATCCCGTTAAAACGCAATGCAGGATTATAAGCGTGTGTTGCTTGCTTCATAACCATATAAGGAGAGAGATGTCAGTGGACCCATTGGAAGCTGAAGAAGCGGACATAGCAACTAATGCTGAAAATGGCATGGGAGGAATTGATTTGATTACTCATGTAAAGTCATCTAATGCATGGACACTGCGGAGGGATGAAATGCCTCAAAACATGTTTAACACCTGGAGGAATCGTGTTTGAATTTCTGGCTGTTTTCACCAATCATTGTTCAATTTGTGTTTTCTTTCCATTGTGTGGTTATGTAAACCTTATTACGCTATTTCCCTTTATGTTGTAATTTTCGGTACTTTCACAAACATTGTGCCATTGTACTTAAATTATTGAAATTTCCGGTGTTTATGTTTAGGGTTGTTTATGCAACTGTCCATATCACTGATGCATACATTGTTATTATCATGTCATAGAAATGTTAATGTTGTTGTCCCTATTGTAGATATTGTCTTTGGTAAAGAGTAATCATGGCTGAGGACAGCCAGACTTCAAGAAACAAATGTAATCACACTTGGACTGCCGAGGAAGATAAGATCTTCATCGATTGTCTTACTGAGATTGGTGGATGTTGGAGAGGTGAGAACGGGTACAAACCAGGCTTCTCTAATGCAGTTGAGAAGTTGATGCATCTTTGGATACCTAATTTCTCAATTAAAGCAATCCCACACATTGCCTCGAGGGTGAAATTGTTGAAAAAATAGTACAACGCAATTGCAGAAATGACCGGTCATGGGGGTGGGAGTGGTTTCGGTTGGAACGATGCCAAAAAAATGATTGACGTTGAGAAGGAAATATTCGATGATTAGGTTAAGGTGAAATAGTTTTAAGTTATTATGTTATTACGAAAAGCTTTCATTTCATTTTTTATTTTATATTCACACCATAACTGACTTGTTATTTGCACAGTCTCACCCTACTGCAAAGGGCCTTTACAATAAGTTGTTTCCCCACTATGACATACTGGGAACCATATCTGGCAAGGATGCAGCCAACGGAGGTAATGCAGAGACAATGCAGGATTCGGTTAATGGCATGGAGGATAATGCTACATGCAATGCAGAGAGTGTGAATGCATTTGAGGATTATCTAGACCTTACGGGTGACTACATACCCACACCATTAGAAGAATCAGTGATGCCAGAAGTCATTGTTTAAGAAATTGTGCCTCCCTTAGATGTGTCTAATGCAACTGGCAAAAAGGGAAAGAAACGTGCTCGACCTGAAGATCCATTAGTGGCCCCAATAGTTGATGTGATGAAAGACAAATCAAAACTATCGCAAAACAACTGATAGTATTGACAAGCTTGTTTCTTGCTTTCAACACCAAGCTAATGGTAGCATGAGGCGTATGTCAATAATGGAAGAGCTGGGAAAAATTGGAGATCTTACAGACCCTCAGATGGTTCAACTTGCTGTCCAGTTGGGAAACAATGCAACATTGATAGATGTCTTCATGCAATACAATGATCATCAAAGGAAGTGTATGATTGCTGGGTTGTTGAGAAATTCCCTATAGTCTGATATGATTGTTTTTTTTATGCATTTTTGTATATAGCCATATTTTTTTATGGTACTTTTTGGTGTGGATTGGTGTGGACTTGGTAAAGTGTTAATAGTTATAGGGTGCCCAACGAAGGACAGCAAATTGTGGTGACAGATTGCATAACATGACATTTTTTATGTTTTTTTGGATGTGGATCCATTGTCATGTATGCAATGTGCCTGCCTATTAGTGTCCTTGTGTATTTTGCTTGTTTGAAGTCATAGAAATGTTTAGTATTTATGTCTCTATGCTTGTGATGTAAACCATTAGAACTGGGTTGGAGTGTTTTGGAGGTCTGTGTAAATGAAAACCAATTTGAAACGTTTGAAGTCATGCGGACAGGAGCTGATAAAAATACAAATGTGGAAGATTATATTTGAGAAATGTAAGAACCCGCACCGTTAATTAAGGTATTTAATTAATTAATTATGCAAAATTAGGAAATGATTCCATAATTGACCCTAATAATTATTATGAGGCTTTAATAATTATAGTAAGTGAGTAATAATGCTGAAAGTCGCTTTTCGGAAGAAAAGTGCAGATACCGGTTCTGCTAGTCGGTATAAATGAGTGCAAATATGATAATTCTTATAAAAATGTCTAGTTTCTGAATCCAAAATTTGGGATTAAAAGGCTAAGCTTAGCAATTAAAGTTAATACTGTGTGTTTAAGTGCGTTTGGGCTATAAATAGGCACACTTAGGCACAAAACCCTAAATAACTACTGCATGTACGTGAGTGTGTGAGGGTGGCTGATCAGCTTGGCTGCTCCTTGGGGTTTCTTCTCCATTTTGGGTCCAAGACACTTCCTTTCTTGATTTTCTTCACCTCCAAACACTTGAGCCTTGTGTGAGTGGCCTTGTGAGTGTGTAGAGAGCTGGTGTTCTGAGTTGGGAGGCTGTTGGGAGTCAGCTTTGAGGGCTGAGTTGGAGAGTTGAGTTGTGGGAACCTTAGAGTTGGCTTGTTAAGCTTCAAGGTGTGTTCTTTGTGGAGAAAGGACCAACCTTCAACTTACATTTTCGTGTGCAGAGAGAGACAGAACCTTGGAGTTGTTGTGTGAGCTCCAAGAGCACCCTTTTTCTGAGTTTGAGCTTTGGTAAGCCTTGTCACCTTTGATCATGAGTTTAATGCTTAAAAATGAAAGTTTGATGCATGTTAAGGCTTAAAGATGATAACTTGTTGTTGGATAATGTTGAACACACCTAGAAATGCATGTTTAGGTGCTGTAAATCGGTAAAAACCCAACCTTGGAAGGATATCTTCACGAAATGCATTTTCTGCATTCTGTCGTGAAATATCCGGATATGTGATATCCGGATATGGGTTTTGAGCATCCGGATAATAGATATCCGGATATGTCCAGTGAGATATCCGGATATTGCATATCCGGATATGGTCCCGAGGAATATCCGGATATTCTGGGATTTCGTAGAACAGTAGCTGTGCTGTGTGTACAGTAGGCTATTGGGGGTTTGTGGACCTTAGATTGATGAAGTTGAACTTCTGTAATTTATGAACTAAGTCAGAATCGTTGTGATTAAGGACTTATGGCTTGATATGGAGCCTTAAGACGTAAAACGTAAGAAGAGGCGTTGTCTTTAAGTTATATGCTTGTGTTGCATTATTATTGATATAGTATTGGTCCATAACAGATTGTGAATCTGCTGTGTTTGGACTTTGAGCTGTGGACTCTTGGCTTTTGGGGTTAGCTTGCAAGGTAAGCTTTCGTGTCCTCGGTTTAACCATGTTGTGGTTCCACCATGTCCCATGGGGGTATGGTTTATGCATGCTGTGTACATGCTTTTGGATATTTGATATGTTGATTGAACTTTACATGTAATGGCTTTTAATATGCATGTGTTGTTTCATCTTGACAGGAAGCCTGTGTATGTAGCGCCATACAAGACGGTGTACCGGGGTGAATGCAAGTGGTACTTGCATGGTGTGTAGGTGATAGACGTATACCTGCACAGTCTCTGGCCAGTAGATTAGTATTGACACACATGACATGATTATCTGCTGCATTGCATTGTTTTAGAAATGATAAATGATAAACTGTTTTTGAACTTATATTGCACATGTAAGTGAGCTTGGGGTGGAAGATCCTTGAGGACTCACTGACTTACTGAGATTTCTAGATTAGAGATCTTACCCCACGTTTGGGGAATGCTTATTTCAGGATCAGGTAGTATGGGTACTGATGCCTCAGGCGGCAGGAGGCCGGAGCTTAGCTGATTATGTTTTACTGCTTATGTTAGCATGACTGGATTTAGATGTTGTTTATGTTTTCCGCTATTTATGATATGTTGTTGTTGAGACTGATGTTGGGCATGTTGCCTAATTTGAGTGAGCATGGGGATTGTCCATGACACTTTCTGTTAGTACTTGTAGTTTGGAGTTGTATAAACTGTTAGATAGTCCGGTCTACGTTGTTGTAGTTCCGTGACTAGAGCCACACTTATATTATCTATGTTATGAGGTATTTCAGTTAGCTGTTTTATTGCAATTACATACAGGCGATCCTGAAATAAGCATTCCCCAAACGTGGGGTAAGATCTCTAATCTAGAAATCTCAGTAAGTCAGTGAGTCCTCAAGGATCTTCCACCCCAAGCTCACTTACATGTGCAATATAAGTTCAAAAACAGTTTATCATTTATCATTTCTAAAACAATGCAATGCAGCAGATAATCATGTCATGTGTGTCAATACTAATCTACTGGCCAGAGACTGTGCAGGTATACGTCTATCACCTACACACCATGCAAGTACCACTTGCATTCACCCCGGTACACCGTCTTGTATGGCGCTACATACACAGGCTTCCTGTCAAGATGAAACAACACATGCATATTAAAAGCCATTACATGTAAAGTTCAATCAACATATCAAATATCCAAAAGCATGTACACAGCATGCATAAACCATACCCCCATGGGACATGGTGGAACCACAACATGGCTTAACCGAGGACACGAAAGCTTACCTTGCAAGCTAACCCCAAAAGCCAAGAGTCATTCACAATCTGTTATGGACCAATACTATATCAATAATAATGCAACACAAGCATATAACTTAAAGACAACGCCTCTCCTTACGTTTTACGTCTTAAGGCTCCATATCAAGCAATAAGTCCTTAATCACAACGATTCTGACTTAGTTCATAAATTACAGAAGTTCAACTTCATCAATCTAAGGTCCACAAACCCCCAATAGCCTACTGTACACATAGCACAGCTACTGTTCTACGAAATCCCAGAATATCCGGATATTCCTCGGGACCATATCCGGATATGCAATATCCGGATATCCAGAATCTCATATCTGGATATCTATTATCCGGATACTCAAAACCCATATCCGGATATCACATATCCGGATAATCATCGGGCACATATCCGGATATTTCACGACAGAATGCAGAAAATGCATTTCGTGAAGATATCCTTCCAAGGTTGGGTTTTTACCGATTTACAGCACCTAAACATGCATTTCTAGGTGTGTTCAACATTATCCAACAACAAGTTATCATCTTTAAGCCTTAACATGCATCAAACTTTCATTTTTAAGCATTAAACTCATGATCAAAGGTGACAAGGCTTACCAAAGCTCAAACTCAGAAAAAGGGTGCTCTTGGAGCTCACACAACAACTCCAAGGTTCTGTCTCTCTCTGCACACGAAAATGTAAGTTGAAGGTTGGTCCTTTCTCCACAAAGAACACACCTTGAAGCTTAACAAGCCAACTCTAAGGTTCCCACAACTCAACTCTCCAACTCAGCCCTCAAAGCTGACTCCCAACAGCCTCCCAACTCAGAACACCAGCTCTCTACACACTCACAAGGCCACTCACACAAGGCTCAAGTGTTTGGAGGTGAAGAAAATCAAGAAAGGAAGTGTCTTGGACCCAAAATGGAGAAGAAACCCCAAGGAGCAGCCAAGCTGATCAGCCACCCTCACACACTCACGTACATGCAGTAGTTATTTAGGGTTTTGTGCCTAAGTGTGCCTATTTATAGCCCAAACGCACTTAAACACACAGTATTAACTTTAATTGCTACGCTTAACATTTTAATCCCAAATTTTGGATTCAGAAACTAGACATTTTTCTAAGAATTATCATATTTTTTTCGTAATTTTCTGAGCACCTTTTCGATACGCGCTTTTCCAAGCCAGTACCGGTTTCTAGCACCAGTTCTCATTATCTGGACTTGAAACTCGTTTTACAAGTCCTACATATTATTCTAGTAATTAACATGCACTTATTATAATTTTCCGGGATACTTTTTCGGCACGCATTTATACTGACTAGCAGAACCGGTATCTTCACTTTTCTTCCGAAAAGCGACTTTCAGCATTATTACTCACTTACTATAATTATTAAAGCCTCATAATAATTATTAGGGTCAATTATGGAATCATTTCCTAATTTTGCATAATTAATTAATTAAATACCTTAATTAACGGTGCGGGTTCTTACAGTAAGTGTACCAATAGGCAGCACATGATAGCAAATAAAGTTTTTTTTATTAAGAGGTACCCCCTGCTAGTACTTATTACTGACTTAATTTCATTATCTGTCTAGTATTGAATTTTTTTATGCAGGTTATAAGTTGTTATTGTCTTCAATCTGGTACTGAATGATGGTTGCTTTTTGTTAACAATTTCTCCACAATGCTGTGAAATAGGGATGCAACTGAATGTCATGGTAACCTGTCATTTAATAACTCTATCACTTGCTTGGTGCATCTGTAAAGTTGATTTATTTCATGTCTAACTCATGTTCATCATAAATGCAGGAAGAAGCAAGTTGGAAATGTTCAAGAGTTACACATATAAGTGCTATGTATGACACCATGCCCACAGGACATGTATCTAACATTGTTGTTGTTCTAATACAGTTTCCTGGTTATGTTCATGGCTAACATTCTGTATGCAAGACAGAATTTTGACACTCTTGTCCTATATGCAAGTTAGCCGAAGGAGATGAAATTTGGATTTTGGACGAAATCAATCAAAGGAGAGACTTCATGTCTGATCTAGGAAGGCCTCTTGTTGACAGACAAATCACAAGACCTCTGCTTCGGTTTATATACCATTGGTGAATTTTTTTAGGACTACCAAGCTAGATGGGGAGTAACCTAAATTGAGATAAACAATACAGATACAAGTTGTAAACCAGTATTGACTTGGTGACTCATCAAGCTTTTGTGTAAAAGTATATAGTCCCAAATATGATGTATGAGACAGCTGTTATAGAATCATTTGTGTCTTAATTGTAGTTAAGGGTGCTTAAGTTTGTGGACTATGTAAAGTTGTTGTTATTCACAAACTGAAATCCAGGATTCCACAGATGATTGTCCATATTCACTAGTCATAACTCTGTTTACTGTCAATTTATATCGACTTGCACTGTAAATTAAAAAAAAAATGAAGGAATTGTATAATTCTCATTTTATTGAAGGAGCTAAATATTCAATGCTAAGTATGCCTTTGTAAGGCTGTACAATTTGTTGTTGTTACAAACATCATCACAAACATAGATCACTACCCTATTTACAAACTGCAGCTCTATGACACTTTTATATATTTTACACCTTCACTCTAAATCCAATCCCATCATGCAGCAGGCTTTCAGAATCTCTTCTCTCTAAGTGCAGCAGGTTGGCATTTTTCAACAAAACCCTTGTCGTAAGACAATATACCACCAGCAAAATGGTTATGATTATCCAACCCATGCAGATGCTGTATATCAAGGTAAAATGTTGTTCAGGCAATCTACGTTCGATGGTGGACTTTGATTGCTCCTGAAGGCACCATGTGACTCATACGTTCCTGTCTCATCTAAGAATCACTTTTGCCGTTGGATTGTGCAATGGGCACTTTTGTTGATTCTGATACCCCACTAACAATACTACTTCCACTTAATCCTGAAGAATGACTTTCTGAACTTGAGCTTTGCAAAAGTGAACTGTCAAAAGGACTATAAACATCATTTGTATCAGCTGCATCTGCAACAAACATAGCTATCACTGCAGTGATCAACACCCGTTTCATGAAATTTGCTTTCCTCATCTTATACATGGGAAAAACTTCTTCATCCAACCCCATCTTCAACAGGGTCATCATTTTCTGAGCAAAACCAGAAGTGAAGAATAAAACTTGTTATATAATATTCACATACCAAAAGGAAAAAATAATATAAAAAAAATCATTTTTTGGGTTAACCTGTATGTATGACAGAAAAGAACAAATTTTGCGGTGATAGAAACAAAGTGGTGTCAATGTTTGGATTTCATTAAGAAAAAGTGTAATATTCGTGAGTTTAGGATCTAAATGTGGCACATTAAACCAGGATATAATATGATAATAAACAATCCATCAAGTACTAACAATATATTTTATTCAAGATAATTTTCAAATCCACAAAATAAGGACAAATACAATTTTAGCAGCAAGTATTAAGGAAATATCAAATACATAAGGTGAGATAAACTTGAAAGGATAGACTCAAGCAACAAGTAATTAATAACAAGCACTTTAAATATAAACATCACCCCAATAATAACTGAATATATAAAAAATACCTCCACTTCCAAATCATCCGAGCCATTCAAAGTTGTATGAGAATCCAAACCGCCTGATGAATGTAAGCACAATAGTATGAGATATAACAACATGAGTAACTAGGAAAACAACCACAAAAGACTGAGATAAAAAATTATCATTGTTCTCAGAAAATAAGACAATGATATAGGTGTCGAGGCATGGAGGAGGATGCAAGGAGGATGATGCTGCTGTCTGCACTAGGTCACACTTTCAACTCATGGACCTCTACCACACTTTGTTCATCAACACCATAAGCCTCTCCTATGGAATTAACTGTATCACCAATGTTCACCATGTGAACCAGCAATGTGGTGACCCCTCTTGCCTTCTAGTCTGCTGTAGGACAAGCACATAACATTGGAACTTTGATTTGAGCACCAACTGGCATTTTGATAGATGCCTTGTAATTCTGACCCATCAATCCATGGCAGGTGGTGAGGCCTTGGTAAGTTCTAAATTACCAACTCAAAGTAGGAGTCATTTTTTCTGACAGTGTAATGAGTGATTTTATTTGAAGGAATCTTGTAACACCTTGTGATGGTGTTCATTGAAGATTGCTGCCCATGTGAACCCCTGTACAACTACCTTTTTTATGTTCCAATACCTTATCTCATTATAGTCACAAGAGCAAATGAGGTCGTCTTTACTAGGGTGAAAATCTAGTGACATGACAGTTGTTGTATGTCCTGTGAATGTTCGAAGAGAATAACCAGGCTGCAAAGTATTATCAGAATTCAATAAATTATATGATACAAATAAAATAAATGATCATGCAATATAATAGCACGTATACTGATGATAGAAAAATGTATGTGATGCAGACTTCAGACATAAGAAATGGTTAATCACACAAATTAATTCACAACTGATGCTATATTAAGAAGTTACAATCTTGAAAGGTTCCAAATATGTAAGGACAAAGGAATTTTTTCCTGGATATCAAACAACATGCATAGATATAGATGAAGGTAAGGAACCAAATCCAGGTGGATTTATTGACAAGTTCCAGCAATAGGAGGCACTCAATCCATCTAATGCATTGACCTATTTCCTCTACTTTCAATCATACTTTCCATCTAATCCATAAAGAAGCCTGCACCACAAAACAGAAAAATTGATTTCATCATACTTTAAATTCAAATCAATAAACAAAAGCTTCTTCCAAACACCACTGAATATAACATTACTGCATCAAATGGAGATTATTTCATACTTGCATTTTGTTATCAACACAGCACCTACCTTTTTGTCATGGCCACCAGTAACAAACAGTTTTCCTTCTGATGACAAGTGACAACACTCAACTTCATCATACTTGCCACATCATCAATCAATACTTGTCATGGGATCAGCATAGATTCCTCTAGATAGAGCAAGAAGTGGAGTATCCTGCATGATCTTCCTTCAAGGATCACATGCACCAGTACAATAACTGACTTGCTTCATAACTTCATTTTCAACTTAGGATTTTTGCATGTTTCGCACATTTTGGGACTGTAATCCAATCATCCAGCGGACTACCTATTCAGCAAACATATGTACAGGTAAGCTATACATGAAAACAAAAGTACATAACTACTAAAAGAGATATTCAAAATAATTATAAAAATCCAACGTACCACCAAATATGCTACTGATTCTCTCTTTAACATGGATCATCCATATCCAATGAATCAGAGACAGTTAAAAGAAATATATTTACCACAGCTGAAGAGCCATTACCACTTCAAAATAAGTTGAACAATACAGGGAGCCATTACTACTATCAACATTTCATGACATTAATAAATAACATCTACGTCGAGGGTTTCGCTAACTTACAACTCCACACAACATAACTCCGAAAGTGCTGCTAATGCAACACATGACCCTAAACCATTACAATACAAGTCAACAAAAAATCAACATTGTAGTCATGATGATCCCAAATGTTATAACAATAACAATTATCGAAACACTCTGTAATTTGATCACTTTCTCGAACTTCATACAATTACGGCAACTCGGTTCTTCAAACCACTCAAAAAAAATGACAATCGTCCACTGTTCTGAAATTAGGACATCCAAGAAATTGTCTTTCCTGATTCCTTTCTGTCCAACTCATTCGCAACGCAGCCAGCACTCCACAATAGCACATCTTCACCCTAGAAGGGGATAAGGATGAAGAATGCCTAGAAATGACGCTTTCACCTCCACCTCCACCTATGCCAGACCCGCATCCACCCATGCTTCCGTCAATGGTTCTACTGTAATTGTTTCCAAGCCTCCACCCACTAGTCACTATGTATTTTTGTTACTGCCGCAGAGAGAGAGACAGATCACCACTTCTAAGTTCCACAAGAGAGATTTCCATGTATAGCCAACAAACCACAGCTCACCACTTATATAGGCAACAAACCAACACAAATGTATATAGTCAAATCCAAAACTGTATGAACAAAGATTTCCCAACAATCAAATTTCAATGTCAAGGTACCAAATTTTTTTTGAATATTTATACATGCGTACCCTTTTTCTGATAGTGGTTGAAAAGGCAAATTTTTGGAGCATTATTCAGCAAAATAAAAACCAAATAACCCTAAACCCACACAAAACAGGGGAAATGGATGACATAAGGTATTTTTCTTTTTGAATACCATTTTTCGACCACAAACACAATGATACCCATAACGGTTTACAACAAACAGCAATGACCATACCTCTTGTTAAGTCTATCCCTAACGTCAAGCACAAGTCCGGTGCAATGCAGCAAAACCTCTGCCTTCTTTGTATGCGTTCAGTGTGTGGAACAACCTTAGTCGCGACCCTTGTGATGTCCGCTCACCGGAAACCTGGACACGTCAATTCCAAAGACACAGATTTGTTTTTTTTTCTACGTATGGACGTTGGCAACAAACACGCGTTGCATACGGGTAAAGGGAAGCAAGGATAATTCAAGTAAAATTTTATAAAAAACATGGGTATTTTCGTCATAGCACATTATTTTTCCATCTATATTTTATGAAGAGTCAAACATGGACTTTACAAAAGTTACTTAATTTTTTCCGGTAAAATTTTTGCCTACCAAACAACTTTTTTTACATTTTTCTATCAAACTCACTTTCCATCTATTTCCTTACTAATCTTATTTTCCTATTATTCGTACAAAATTCCCACCAACCAAACACTACCTATTAGAATATAAGATAGAAAAAGGATTTGGCACATGCCTGATGCCACCATATGGACGTTGTCCGTGGATTAGGTTAGGTTCCGATTAATCTCAAACTTCTCTTTCTATTTTTAGTTTTTCTTTTTTTAAAATTCAAATTACTTCTGGAACATTCCTAACCGTGCATCAATCGAGGAGATCATTAAGCCCATTAATTAACTATATTTCTCAACGCTAATTATTGCATAAAATATGATTATTTTAATAATTTCAATGCATATGCTTAAGTACAACCAGACACGTGTCCCTCAAAACGAAGCACCTCGAACGCGAGGTAAAGTAAAGGTCCCCCCACATTTTCCAGAAAGTTCCACACCATACTAATGCCTTCAAATAAGTAATCCGCAGTGCGGTCCTGATCGTGCCACGTGTACTAGTCTCCACGTAATCATCCGACGTGGCACCGCGATAACCATGTAATTGATACGCTCCTTCAACCTTCTCCGTTGATTTCCGAACCTCTAGTTTTTAACTCTTTCGCTTCAACAGAAAAAACAGCGCGTCGTCGTTTTGCTTTTCTTTTTCTTTGTCAGAAGAACACACGGGAATTCTGTCTGCGTTTTCGAGCTTCAAGTCGTCGTTTTTTAGGTCGGAGTTTTTTCGCCATGAACGGAAACGACGCTGTGGAAGATGTGAAGGTGGTGGAGGAGGACTGCACGGAAAAAATGGTGTACATGTGGGGGTACCTTCCCGGTGCCTTGCCGGAGAAAGCTCCGATACTGTCTCCGGCGCCGGTGCATCTTTCCGATCCTTCCCTAGCCGGAGACTCGTGGAAGGACGTGTGCGGCGGTGGTTGTGGATTCGCCATGGCCATCTCAGGTTGATTTCTCGATCCTTTGACTCTATGTTGACTAAATTCAGATCGAGAAGTTAATCCATTTCTAGTAAATTCTAGATCTAAATTCTTGAGAAATAGATCAATGAGCTGTTTCTTTTCTTTCCCAATTCGTTCGTTAAAATCTGAAGAACTGGTTTTTGTTTTTGTGATTTTTGGTCCATTTCTGTGCTGATTTGTGTTTGTTGTGTGATTTTTGCAGAGAATGGGAAGCTGATAACGTGGGGTTCCGCGGATGATGAAAGCCAGAGCTACTTGATGTCTGGGAAGCATGGGGTAATGCAGTTAGTCTTCTAATATAGGGCTTGGTTTTGCTGTGAATTTGCTGTTAGAATTGATTTTGCAACTTGTTCTGGATGCATACATTTTTGAAGGAGATTCCAGGGCCAATTCAGCTTCCTACTGAGGCTTCAGTGGTGAAGGTTGCTGCTGGTTGGGCTCACTGTGCCTCGGTCACTGGTAATTCTTCTAATCGGTTCTTAATTTAGTGATTGTGTTTTGTGTATAAATGATGAAACATTGTGATTTCCTTGTTTCGTAATGCTATTTGAATGGTTGTCATGTTTTCCACTGGTAAATATAATCTGAGAGTGCTTCCTGGTTTTTTGGAGATTTTGTTTTCGAAGCAGTTTAGTGGAACACTTATAAGTACGAGCCTTTTTGTGGAATTAAATTAGAAAAAAGAGAAGGAAAATATTTTGCATTTTTAATTTACTTGGATTTATTTGAGGGAAAAGATATTGTAACAACCAATTAGTGTTACTACCGATCAATTTCACCGTTAGAGTAATTATATTGATTCAATGGTTATATTTATTTCCATTGTTGTAGGATTATGATTCTCCATATTTAATATTTTATATTTATTTTCACCTTTGTATGGTTATGATTTTCCAAAGATGGAAATAAATATAACCATTGGATCAACATAATTGATCTAACGGTGAAATTATTTTAATGATTTTAAGAGAAAAAATTGTCTATGTGAGGGAGATATGTAAACTTTTCCTGCCTCCCGAATTTTTTTTTGTGTTATGGTAAGAAGGAGTTTTTTTTTGTGTTATGGTAAGAAGGAGGTCATACTTACAATTATTTTTTCCTTACAACCACTTTCATGACCGTTCGATCAAAATCAAATCAACGGCTCTTGTAATGGTTGATTTGATTTTGATGGAACCGATGAGTAATTGATGAGTAATGACACTGAAATTGACTTCGATGATTTGGCTTAATGTAGTTGACTCTTTAAATTAGAACTTAGACGAGCAGAATTTCAATTAATGGTGAGAGCGATTGTTTAAATGTTTAAAATATTGAAGCTGTTAAGAAAAACCAAAAAGAAAGATCTGGGCCTGTTTGAATTTTGAATTATGGTTTGAAAAACAGTTTTTTGATTTTCAAAACAAAAGGATCAAAAAAAGTTGTTAAAAAATGTTGTTTGATAGTGTCTGTTTTGTAAAAATAATTTTAAAAATTATAATTGTTTTTATAGTTTTTACTTTTTAGAATCAAATTTGGAGAACATGTGTTAGTTGTTTTTCTTTAGTGTTTTGACTTTTAACTTCAAAAAAAAAAAAACACTGATTTAGGTTATATTTGAAAGTGTTTTTGTTTTTTGTTCTCAAAAACTGTTTTGAATATCAATTTTAAAAACTGATTTTAAGAGTAAACAAATAAAAAACTTGTTTGAGTGTAGTTACACTAAAGTTATAAAGTTGTTAGTTATTTACAAAAACGTCATTAATGAAGTTTCAGAATTACAAAAATGTTACCGTAAAGTAATTGTTTTAAGTCTTCAAATTTACAAAATTGCCATTAATGAATGCTGATATTTACGAAAATGTCACCGTGAAAATTAAAAAATCAAAAAACTGCATAGGAGAACATCAACACTCCGCAGGTTGTTTTGGTTTTTCAGTTTTTACAACTAAAAAACAATTATTGTTTTGAAAATCATTTTGCAAAACAATCATTTTTAAACAGATTTTTTTTTATTTTTTAGTTTTAAAAATTTAAAAACTGTTTTTGAGAATAGGAATCAAACAGGGCCGTAATTAACTATTTTACAAAATAATTTTAAGAAAAATAAAAAAATAAATGCAATCAAACAACTTCTAAATTATTTTTTTAACTTTCGAGATCTGAAATCAGATATAATTGAAATTTATGTATGAAAATTACAGAAGTAGATGATGTATCTTACGGAAACACAGTTTTAACGGTTCGTGTGGCTTATATGGAATGCTAGATCTCAAAGGAAGTATATGGAATATGGGTGACAAGTTCAATGCTTCATTGAATGTTTCTACATTACTCTTATTGTGTTACCGTTTTGACTTTTGAATTTAAAAAGTATATTCTGAATGCGAAAATTGTGTTTGTGTGTGCTGTGGGCACAAGTTGCCCCATAGCAGCTTGTATGGTTCTCAAGTGTATATGTAAATTTAAAAGTGGATAACACATTTGCAAATATACCAGTAACAAGTACTACAGAAATAGAGAAGGGGATATTGTTCCCTAGAAGAAAATTAAAGAATGCATTCTAATGATGACTTTATAATAGTTGCATAACAGAAGAATATAGTTACACACTAAAATGGGACAAATACAGAAATGAGTTGGTTTGGATGTAAGTAGCAAAAATTAAACGGATCAGGTGATAATTTCCTCTATTAGTACTATGTTCTTCTTGAGAGCTTCAGGACCTGCTACAACAAAACCGTATGTTTTCGATGTGGAACTCTAAGTCCTGTACCTTGGAATAAGATCGTAACATTCCACCACGCTCCACAGCCCCAGCCCACGCGGGCTGGCTTTGCACTAGTCTTTTACTAGCCCTAGGCAAACACTGCAATGCCAGCATCACCACCCGTGTCACTCGATTGCAATTGAAAGTCATAGTGAAAGGCTCTGATACCAATTGATATGAACCTTGGGAGAGCCTCACCCCAAAAGCTAGCCCATAAGGTAGGAGAGCCTAAAGTCCATATAAATCCCATACTAGAACCTTATGTTTCCGATGAGAAACTCCAAGTCCCATACCTTGGGGTGGGATCGTAACAGACTCCTATGCATTCCCAATCCTCAAGCTTGTGCATGCTTTGCAATTAGTTCATTCAATTCTCAATAAGCTTTATGCTTTAGTAGTGAAGTAAAAGTGTCACTAGTATTTCCACTATCATTTTTGCATAAGTTGATTGGGTATAGTTAAAGGAGGAGCAATAGAAAAAAATTACTCTGACATATGTGGCAGTTAAAAGTGCCTCCTGATATCACCTCACTGGTTATAGCTGAAAGAATTATCTATATTTACTATTTCTTTATTTTTCCTTCTGTAGAGGGTGGTGGATAAATCTTAATTGAATTATAATTAATAGACTTAAATTGGACACTGACGTAATCATGTTAATGGACTTGGAAAAGAACGAGTCAAAGGCTTAAGGTAGATTGCAATTATTGCCACTTAGTTTGGTCAGTTTAGTAAATGGGGGTGCCGCTGCCAACACATGGCTCTTAGATAGGGGTGTTAACGAGCCGAGCCGAGCTGAGCTTTGGTCTTAACGGGCCGAGCCTGTGTTCAAATGTGTCAGACTGGCCTTAGCCTGTTACCTGTTACGAATATAATATCAGCCTGTGGCCTGTCTCATTTACAAAAACTAAAAGCCTGGTTTAGCCTGTTAGCCTGTTTTAAAATAATAAGACAACAAAAATTTACCTAAACAAAATTTACAATCAACAGCACTAGTAATTCAATAAATATTTATAAATTTAATGTATATCCAAATAGCATAATATAAAATAAAATCATTCAAAAAGTCTGTTTAATTAATAAAATGGGATGAAATGAATTGAGAAGAGAGAGAGTGCTATCACAAGTAGTATAAAAAATATAAAAAAATATATATTAGGCAAGCCTGAAAGGCTCTAAGGCCGAGTTTTTGAATTGGAGCCTGAGGCCTTTTTATTAAACGAACTTTTATACAAGTTCAAGCCTGGGTCTAACAATCAATTTTAGACATATAAGCTCAGGCCTTCACGAGCCGAGCCAAAGGCCCCTGGCTCGTTTAGCACCCCTATTCTTAGAGCTGTATTGTATTGACCTTAAGCATATTTCTCTTTAAGGAAACAAAGTATTTTGTTATACCTTGGTAGTACTTTTGTGTAATTCAAAATAAGAAGGAACAATTTTATTCTCTGGAGTCATGCTTTTACATGTAGTTATGAATTTGTAGAAATTGGAATGAACTTTAGCAAACTTACTAGCAGTTTAATTTAAACAATTGAAAGTTGGGACCAATGTTGTTAAAATCGAGATCTTAAGTAAAATCGAAAGGGAATTAAAAAATCGTAAAACGTAAAATCGTAATGTAAAAAAATCATAAAAAATCGTAAAAACGTAAAAGCGTTTGGAATATTACTAAAATCATTTTGATGAAAAAAATCGTAAAAACGTAAAATCGTAGTGATAAATCGAGATTTTAACAACAATGGTTGGGACTATCAATATATACTTCGATTGAGGCTGTTGCTACTGTTGCTGTACATAGTATAGAAGTCCCACATTGAGTGTACATAGTATAGAAGTCCCACATCGAGTGTGTCTCTTTGTATTCTTCAATTGGTTTGCTATATAATAGCACCAATGTTGTGTAGTTCAATATAACAAGGATTACAATGAATACCTCTTGTCTCTTGATAATTAACATGGTATCTAGAGCCTAACAAGAGGAATCCTAATCCGCGTTTTTTTTTTTTTTTTTCCGGAAACAGTCATAGCTGTAAGTTTCCGGCTTCTATATATCGTCTACGGACCTGTCTGATCACTGCCGCCATTAGGCACCGCCGTCCACCGCCGTTGACCGCCGTCTCCGGCGATTTTTCCGGCGATTTTTCCGGTGAAACCCATATCGATCTGATCGCCACGAGAAGGCGCTCCTTTCTGTCCAGGACCCATCCTCAGATCCTCCTACACGCGCTCTCACGCGCGTCAAACAGCGGCTGCAACTCGTTTTGTTGCAACGGCGCATGGCGGCGCGTCCCACTCCGGTTGGCCGTCGTACCACCACGGTTCCCTTCGTCTTCTCCTTGCTCACTTGGATCTGTCCTCACTTTGTTGTTTCGACTTCGTTTCGGCTTCCTACGGTGTCTTTTCCCTTGCTGGTCACTATTCACAGACGTTTCTTTGCTTTTCGTAGCTGTTCATTTTTGTTTCAGGTAACCCATGGCTGATTTGTCACCCCACGATGCATCCAAGGGTTCTCAAAAGGCTGACCCGCCTGTTTTTTCTAATTATGTTAATGTTCCGCTGCACGTCGACAAATTGGATGGCTCCAATTATGATTCTTGGGCTTCTGATCTCCGACTTTGGCTTGATGGACAGGACTACACTGATCATCTCATTACTAAGGCTAAGTCCATCTCGGTAGATGTACGCCCTCATTGGAAAAAGGTTGATGCTCAGTTATGTAGTATCATCAAGTCTACCATCCACTCGTCCTTGAAGCAGATTTTTCTTGCTCACGTCACTTGTGAGTCTGTTTGGCGTCAGGCCGAGTCACTTTATACCAATGACAGTCAGCGACTCTATGGGGTTTGTCAAAATTTGATCACTGCTATTGCTGCTCAACAACTTGATGTCTCTATGTCTGCTTACTTGGGAAAAGTTCAGGGCCTCCTTCATGATTTCAATGAACTGTTGCCGCCTGCTGCAGATCCTGCTAAAGAACTTGAGCAACGCAGCACGTTCTTCATGCTCATGGCTCTTTATGGTTTGCCCCCGGCATATTCTGTCAACCGGGATCAGATCTTGGGCTCTACTACTGTTCCATCGCTTGACTCTGTTTGGTCTACGTTGCTTCGCATTCCACCTAAGACTTCTATGGAGCCTGCAGTATCTGCTCCCTCTTCAATTGACCCATCTGCCCTTGTCTCCAAGGGTTTTGCACGTGGACGCAAACCCTCTACGAGACGCTTTCTCTGCACTCATTGCAAAAAGTCGGGCCATACTATTGATCGTTGTTGGGATCTTCATGGTCGCCCTCCTCGCTCCGCTCATTTTGCTCAGAATATTGTTCCTGCCTCGGACTCTGCCTTGATTGCTGGATCACAACCACCTCCTGGTACCACTGCCTCTAGTGCACACACGGGTAATTCCTTTGCTGGTGTTTCGCACTCGCCCTCTCTTGGTCCATGGATTCTCGATTCTGGTGCATCTGACCATATTTCTGGTAATAAGTCTTAATTTACCTCTCTCTGTACGTCTGGTCCCTTGCCCAGTATCACTTTGGCTAATGGGTCACTGGTTCAGTCCCAAGGGATTGGCACTGTTCTCCTTTTTCCTTCTATTCTCATTGAGAATGTGCTTTATGTTCCTCATTCTCCTTTCAACCTTATTTCCATTAGTCGCTTGACTCAATCCCTTGACTGTACTATTTCTTTCACTAAAGAGTCTGTCATTTTGCAGGATCGGAGCTCGAGGAGGACACTTGGCGTCGGATCTGAGTCCAATGGCCTTTATCAGCTTTCAACTTCTGTTCCAGTGTGCTCTGTTGTGGATTCTCCGCTTACTATCCACGCTCAGTTGGGTCATCCCAATTTTGCTGAGCTCCAGAAGATGGTCCAACGTTTCTCAAATTTATCTAGTTTGTCTTGTGAGTCGTGTCAGTTAGGGAAGCACACTCGTAGTTCGTTTCCCGATCGTGTCAGTCGTCGGTCTTCGTCTCTTTTTGCTTTAGTTCATTCAGATATTTGGGGTCCTAGTCGTACCGTTTCCACTGTGGGGTACAGATATTTTGTAACTTTCATTGATGATTATTCTCGATGTACTTGGTTATTTTTAATGAAAAATCGGTCTGAATTGTTTTCTATTTTTAACAATTTCTTTAATGAAATCCTTACTCAATTTGGTGTTTCGATTCGCATTTTTCGAAGTGACAATGCTCGTGAATATTTGTCTTATCAGTTTCAAACCTTCTTTGCATCTCACGGCATCCTTCACCAGACATCATGTTCACACACCCCTCAACAAAATGAGGTTGCTGAACGCAAGAACCGTCACCTAATTGAGACTACTCGGACACTTTTGTTACATGGTCATATCCCATTCCAATATTGGGGCGATGCTGTCCTCACAGCTTGTTATCTCATTAATCGGATGCCTTCCTCCGTACTTCATAATCAGGTACCACATTCTGTGTTGTTTCCACATCAACCTTTGTACCCACTCACTCCTCACATCTTTGGTTCTACTTGTTTTGTCCACAATCTCAGTCCTGGTCTTGACAAGTTATCTGCTAAGTCACATAAATGTATTTTCATGGGTTAC